CACAAAATTTGGCTACAGTAAAAGGTTTCTGAATGCTACCAATTTACATAAATCTTTTAGCAACATCAGGAAATGTTTACAGTGGTCTCTGAAGAAAATGCTTCAGTTGTACCCCACAAAAGGAGAAATTGGCCTGTTTAGCAAGCCTTGCAAATACTTTTTATTATCATTAAATGTTTGATTTATGTATACCTGGGGTCATGTAACAATTTCTGGGGCAGAAAGTTATCATGAGTGTAAAAAGTTTAAGAAGTCCTGGTCTAGATCACTGGTCTAGAACCTATTGTCTTCCATATATTTTGCACTTGATAATTCAGAATCCCCGCCCATTAGCTATGTTCCCTTGGGTTTTAGGAAGTTGAAATACAAAATATCTGGAGGATTAGTGGGTGAGAAACACTGCTCCTGGTCATTTAACATTCCAAAGAGCACCTAAGATTTTCAAAATAATGCTGAAGAAAGCAACAGTACAAAGAAACTCTACCGTCAACAAAATAGATACTAAGCAAGAAGAATAAGTGAGATTCAAGAAATAGTTCAGCCACTCAAAGCACAATGTTCATTCTGATGAAATGAAACAGATGAAGGTGAACAAGGGAATGATAAATTGAAACACATCCAAAGCAATGTAGCTAAGATCACAAGGGACTTAGGAAGAAAGGATGAGGAAGCTGGGAATGTGTAGTCTGGACAAAAGATAAAATTAAGTAGCGACATGGTGTCAATTTTCCAACATTTGTAGGGCTATTACATTGATAATGGAGAAAAAATTATTTTTGTATTGCTTCAAAAAAAAGGATATTGATTAAATGTTAAGGAAAATTTCCTGAGCTAGAGCTGTTTAACAGTGAAAAGGAGTACATTACTAGTGGTAGATTCCTTTGAATCTTTAAAGAAGGCTTTAAGCACTGACTAGATGGTCACTTATGAAAAGCATAGAATTCATGCTTCAGAAGGAAGTTGGGCTAAATGACCTTTGTGACCCCATAAAACTGTTTGTTTCTCAGCTCACATATTTTTTGACAAATAAATCACATGAACTACACATTGCCAAATGAATATTCTACTTTTGGATTTTCTAATATTTGACTTCATCAACATACCTGCTGCTTCAACAGAAAGCTGTATGAAAAGATACAGTGCAATAGATTTTCTTATCCTAGTACTTTATTAAAATTTTAATATATCTTATCTTCCTGTTTCAGAAAAAAATAGAAGATTTAAATTCTGATTGGAAAGCAGTAATCCATTTAATACAAGTATTAAAAGGAAAGCCAGTCTCTGGGCTCCCAGGAATAGTATCTTCTTCTGTTGGTAAGTACTTCAGTGTTTCAGTAATTTTCAGATTTAATAGGTGAATGTTAAAATGAAGCAATATTTTTTATAAACTGTTAACTTTTAAACTGATGTTTTAATTTACTGTTTTAACTAATGTTTTACCTTTTACTGTTTTACTGCTACTGTTTGTTTGGCATCTAATGATTGTTGGTTGTAAACCGCCTGAGTCCCCGTCCCCCCTGGAGGGGAGGGGAAGAGAAGGACAGAAGATAAATGTTTGAAATAAAAAAAATAAAGACAAGGTGGAGGAGAGTATAAGCCAGAAAAAGAACTTAGACATTCATTCTAATTTTATTTCTATTTTAAATAATTTAAACTGTTTTAATTTGTTTTTTAACAGAATTCTTGCTTAGTTGGTTTTTAACTTCTTTATTAGTAATTGTTAGCTTTACTTTGTGTAAAGTGCTGGAGGTTGCCTTTAATTCTTTCCTGGAAAAATGCATTAAAGGTGAATTAAATAAAATAAATTAACAATAAACCATAACTTTATTCTTATCAGAATATTTTTACAATCTGAATGATTATGTACCTGATCCCTTGGCCCACGTAGAACTACATAAAACATTCCACGCCCTTTTCATTGGTTTATTTAACAAAACAGATGTTATTCTTTCATTTTTATTGTGTTGACATACTTAAATTATGTTTAAGGTAAACTAAAATCTTGGATATCTACAAATAATTGTTTTGTGCATGACCACATGTGGATGTGTGAGGCAATGTCCTGGACACATGGGGCAATGTCCTGATGCTATATCCATGTTCAGATTTATTTATTAAGCTGTTACACACTTTTCAGACCTCCACAACACAGGGGAAAAGGGTTACAGTTTGATGATGTGTGTAGACCAGCAAAAGATTGGTCCTTTGTATATTCAAAAATGAGCAATGCAAGTAGAAGAAAAGCAAAACTTAGATTTTACTCTTGTGCAGCAGAGTTCATGAAAAAACAGCAACTTCAACACAAACTTTCTAGTAATAATACAATCACAGTTCCTCTGGAATATCAAACTCACGTATAGTCCTTGCATTTAATTCATGCAATAATTTCCTTCAAAAAATGTCTTCTTCCAATTGTCATTTCTTGTTCATGGAGAGAAACATGGAAGACAAACTTGCCAGCATCAAATAGGCTGCAAGCCAGGAGCTTTCACAGAGTAAGCTTAGGAACAAACATTCAGTAAGCCCAAAATCATACAACAAACACTCCCTAGTTATACTCCTTCAGGAGTGGCCCAAAACTTGTTGGCCTTAATTACTACAATTACTCAACCTGGGGATTGTAATTAACCAGGGTCTTTTTCTCTTAACACACATGCGGTAGTGATCCCACAGGAACTTAGCCATGTACCTTAATAAAGGAGACTGCCATCCCATGTCCCCAGGCCACCCAAGCACTGGAAATGAAGGATGACAGTTGGGTCAATTCCCAAACTATGTAGCATGTGATTGCTCAAATAAAATCCAGTTCGTATATGAAATTACAAAGGACATACCTGACCCTTCCCTGTGATATTTGCTTAGAAAATTCAATTGTTATGGAACGATACTGACAATTCCAGCAAGAGAAATCTCAAGGAGAAATTTTCTGATAACACAGCCTGTCCTGTCGAGCACTGGGCCTATGACAATGTCTGTTTACAGGACGTGCTTTCTGTATGCCCAACGGGACGTCGGGGTGCCTCAGCTAAAGAGTCCCATAGGTTCCCCAACACAAAGTTCTGTAGAGGCTCAAAATAAGATCAACAATGTTCTTTATTAAGGCTTAAATCTTCGAACAAATGAATTAAATGCTTTATAATCTTGAAAAACTAGTAGCTTTCTCAATCTGCCAACAAGGGACAGGCAACTGCTTGATAAACTGTTCCTATCTTCTTTAGGGAAACCTTCCAATCCCTCCTTGGGCAATCTTTCTTTACCCTGCTGCAGGCATGTAGCCGGGGTGGGGGGGGCTTCAGCCCCCCCCCCCGAAATTCTCATGGTGGTCCGCGAGAAGGCCTTACTGGTGCATTATTTAAACTTATGTTTATTCATATCATGATCTAATCACCATGCTCAATATATCCCATATGGGGGTATTGGGGTATTGGGGTAACGATACAAAAGGTTTGCTAAGGCAGACCCTCTTTCACTCAGACTCAGCCCCCCCGAACCAAACTCAGCCCCCCCCCCTCCCGAAACAAAATCCTGGCTACGGGCCTGCCCTGCTGGCATGAGGCCCCAACTCCTGGCTCCAAGCTGCGTTATGGATAGCCCGAGTGGTCCCTAACCAGGCAATGGTTGCTGTAGATCTGCCAAGCTGGTGTCCTGTAGATTTGCCCCACAAAGGCTGTGGAACCATTCCTCTATTTTCCAGCAAAGCTGTGGAACTGTAACTTTACTCCCCAGCAAAGCTGTAGAGGTTTTCCTTTTCCCCCAGCAAAAGCTGTAAGAAGTGAAGCTTTTTGCGGGTGGGACAGAGAAAAGCCCACACATCCTGCTGTAAGGCTCCAAACTGTGAGACTGAACTAAAAGTCCCCTTTTCTCTCCAAACCTGGGGAAAGGGGCGGATCTAAAGGCTCTAATTATGATTGATAGGTTGTTGGACCTATGATTGCAACCTGGGGAAAGCTACCCAATTGCAAAATGCAAGCCCCTAATAAATTCAAACAAACTAACAGTGCAAGAAAAAAAATCAAATCTCCTGGCACAGCCGTGCCAGCACACAGCCCGCTCACCCCCATTCCCCCCAAAAGAAGATCTTGGTATCTTTGGGTTGTTTGGGTTGTTTGGGACACTGATTCAGAAACTTGCATTGGATAAACCACATCAGTTCTAGTTTCTTTGATACGGTTTTCTATAGGCAAGGAGATAGTGACTTATGTAAATGACGTATGTTTTGTATCTCAAAGATTAGAGTTGATAGAGGAAAGCTGGTGCTATTTTGGGAATCAACAGGTTAAATATATATAGAAACAGGGTTAACATTTGAGGTACCAAAATGTGTGTTGGCCAATAATAATTCAGTGAGAAGGCAAGTTTTGTGATACATGAAACTTGTTTTAATAAATACCATTAAGACCAGAATTGATTGTAGTAGTTTATTTGAGCAATTATCAAGACTCAAGTTTCAAGACAAGTTTTGTTTTCAATATAGCTGACACAAGCTGAAAAACAAGCTCACCTAATAAAAATAATATAAGAGACAAACTGTTCAAACAAATGGCTACTCTTTTGAAATCCATGTAACAAAGCTTTCCAATTCAATTTAGTCTGTGCATATAGCTTGAGGAATCTTTGGAGGTCATTCACAGCATGGGCTCCAACAACAGGGTAAAATATTGAAAAGAATCTGAATACTATACTTTCAAAACTGTTTGAATGAAAGTATAATTAGCTACTTCACAGACAATTTTTGTGTGTTTCGTGAGCCTTTTTAGCTTAATCTTTGACTATAGCTCATAGATTTGTTACAGCACTATCTAACTGAATAAACATGAACCTGAACTTTGACTTAATGAGCAAAAATAATTACTTCTTCATATGTAACTTGTTGCCAGGCTCTTCAAAGAGTTCTGAATAATTTCTACTATCTATCTATCTATCTATCTATCTATCTATCTATCTATTACTGTACTTTGTATGATGAACATATGTGACCTCTTCTTAGTGTCAGCACCATAAATTGAAATCAACTTTATAACAGTTAGAATGTTTTCAACAAATGTAACATCTCTTGTTTAACATCTCTTTAAGGCATAGCTTTCATAGACTAGTAAGCATCATAGTGATTCAAATCATAATGTAAAAATTACATTTTTGTTTACTTGGTGGAAATGCCCATGTGTATGACAAAAAGTGGCATTCTGTCATCAAAAATACTGGCTTCACTAGAACTTTGACATCAATGTGTCCCAGAACTAAAGAAGAGCCACTTTTCTCAAGGGAAAAGATAAAAAATCAAAAGGCTTTTACACCTTTGGGGTTTTGCTGTACATAGAACTGAAATCAAAATTAAATCTAGAGCAATTTCCCTTAATAGGCCAGAATACTTTCAAAATGCAACAAGCTAGATACAACACTTAAGCCCAGATACTCTTGGTGCAGTTGTGTGAGATCAAGAGAACGTCATGACAAATGAGAACAAGTATATGGTTGGGACAAGTACGTGACTTCACTTGGGCCTTCCAAACTATTGCTAGCTGATCTTGGTGGATGAGTTAACAAGACTTGGAGCATACCTGAAGAGGATCTTCTTCCCTCTAATCAACACTTCTACAATTTCATCAGTGGACAACGGTAATCATTGTAGTAGATGTTGTTCTAACATTGCTCTAACTTGAGGTTGCTTCTATAGCCGAGCATAAGGAAAGCAATCACCTTTTATGCTCCATTATGAGAGGTTGTCCACAGGATGTCAAGAAGAAAGGGATAAGTCACCTACCTTGGATTTTATGCTTTCCTTTATCTCATGGCTTCTTTTCAGCAGACAGACTTGTTGTAGTAATTTCAGCAGTGTGAGCTGTCAGACTTTTAAAATCCTTGTTCTTCTTATTTAAGATGTCTTCAAGGTCACTATCAATAAATGTGTGGCCTGTGTCAATTATTATCTTTTCTTTTTCTACTTTTGCCTCAGTTCCTCCTGTAGGCACAAAGCATTTGCAAATAACAATGTTTATATTCAATGCTTATATTCAATGTGCCATTGGTGTGTTTATTTCCCATCTTTTTTATTGATTGATAACATCAGTGGACTGGCTGCTAAATTGAATGAACAGTGTATTGTAATACATTAGAAATTGAAATGGTTGCCATGCAGAAGACAGTCAGCTAAGAGACACATACTCATAGGCTGATTCATTTGCAAGGGGAATACCTCAAGGACAGTGTTCTACCCTTGAAAACTAATTACAGTACCTCGTACACTTTTAACAGTCAGAGGATGCAAGAAATGTTCATTACGAAACTATGAACAGAGAGAAAAGTAGTGGAAGATGAAAATACAAATACTGTAGAAGACAATAGCAAAACTGAGTTGAATCAAAGAATTTCAACCTAATAACTTTAGAAATCTGTTCTAGGATATGCAAACCCACGCAATACAGAAAGAAATAAAAAACAATAATTCTTCTTCCTTAATTGAATTTTTAAAAGGAGGAAGTATCCCTGATATACATGTACTAATTGACCTTCACTTTGAGGTACTGTTTTTGTATCATACAGATACAATACAGTATTGCCTTTTTATTTGAAGACTACAGTTTAAGAATTCAAAATAATGGGTTTAAAAATAATTGCCTAATAAAAATCTAGAGTTACTTTTTTTTTTAAGCGTATATTACTTTTTCTGAGCAACTTATTCTGAATATTTAAAAATGTCCACTGTCTTATTTGGATGTTAAACTACTAACTTGTGCAAATATAACAAATAATACAGATCTGGTAAAATTAGAAATCTTGAAAGCATTGTTTTTGACAGTGTTTTTCATTACTGTGCAAGCAAATTTTAATACTACATTACACCTCTGATGTTCTGAAGTAAGTCTTGATAGGGATAGGTCAGGGAGTGACATCCGATCAATCGTTTTGAATAGAACTCCTCAAGAGGTTCATAGAGAATATTGCAATAACAGTAACTTCTTGGAGATTGAAAGTGAAGGTAGTTTATCTTTCAGAAAGGTTTTGAATAAAACAATAAGTCTCTTCCAGAAGGAACTGTATTAATGATATTTCAGTTTATAAAGATAAAGTATAATCTTTAATCAGTGTCAGGACTGCCAGCCACTACAAAAGCCGCAACCATAGATATATTATAAATGTAATTCTTGGACATCACAGATAGAAGAAGCCATTAAACCTTTATAAAGCCAGTTCTTGGACTATTTCATCAATGCTTTATTTCTGAAAATTCTTTCACAGGTGTTTTATTGTGAATATGTGCCTGCTATTCAAGATGATTTATCTATTTGTTTTCTTGCAGAAGTTTAGATTACAGAAATTATGATTATGTTTTTAAAATTTGCATATTATATATTTGAAAATACTTTTTAAAAGTTGCAGTATTAAAGACTGGAAATAAGAAATTCTTTAGTGTGGAAAACAGCTTGATTATTTACAGAAAGAAAACTCACAGTGGACTCTGACTCTTTTCCAAGGCCATTTAATGCATGAAAAATCATATCCAGCATTGATCTGTTAAAGGACACTTGGCTCCATGCATGAGTAGACTGGTGTACAAAAAAGTTCTTACTATCCTATCTTTTTTGAGGTCTGCTCAATTTAAAGCACATGTTTAAAGCATTTCGCACAATAATGTTTGGTAAAAAGAAGATTGCATTATAGGTGGAAAGATACAAGGAATCCACAGCCTAAATTTACAGAGCTGTTAATGTGTTTTTGGAGGTCTCTCATACATGGAATCAATCTTAAATCAAACCTGATTTGAGGGAAATTTGTCATATTCTTTTATTCCTAGTAAGGAACAGTGGAACAGAGTGTGCTTGGTATACAAATAACAGCAAATGTTCTGAACAAATGAATAAAAGGATGCAGAAGGGGAAACAGAAGTTGTGGTTTGTGGACCTGGCAGGATGACCCTAGAGGACTGCTGCTGTATCCCTAGGGCAAAAATCTGAGATGTAACAGAGAGGCTGACAAGGCTTATCAAGCCCACAGACCATAGCGCTCTTGGTAATTGAACATGGGAACCAATGACACTGCAAGGCATAGCCTTCAGAAGATCACACGTCATTGCAAGGCTATGTGTAGGAAGCTGAAAGACCTTATTTTGTCTTTTCTCCCAGTTTTTAAGCAAGAGTGGATGGCCATTTATCGGGAGGACATTGATTGTATTTTCCTGCATGGCAGGAGGTTGGATTGGATAGGCCTTGTGGTCTCTTCCAACTCTATAATTCTGTAATAGCCACTTTGAGTCTCCTTGTGGAGAGAAAAAGTGGAGTATAAATAATCATTATCATCATTATCATCAAATGATATGCTCTTCCCATGAGTCTTTTCTGAGTGATTTCTAACCATCATCTCCTATTTGTCACCTGACAATCAAATAAAGATATTAAGAACCTCCTCGTAGACTGAGTAAATACAGTCGGCCATCCCCTGGGCAACGTTTCTTGTAAACAGCTATTCTTTCCAAGCCAAAAAGCATTGCTTTACTTTATGCAATGCTTTTGGCACGAAATAATAATAATAATAATAATAATAATAATAATAGTTTGATAGTCAAGTTATCATATCTTTCTAAACTAAAAATGTATTATTCAATTGTGTTAATTTAGTTACTCTGAGAAAGTTGGTGGGAAGAATTAAAATCAAAGTATCAAATGAAATCTTGGAACATGTCAAAGTGCATCCAAGTGTGGCATCAGCTTTTAAAAGCAGAAGCAGTGGTAAAAATGTATTATGTTAGATAAACACACTTTTCCATGATTAATGTATTTGTGATTGAATGCCAGCTTCCTGAATGTAACATGCAATATCTCAAGAAAACTATCACTTTCTATAAACTGGATTCTAGGACTATAAATCGGCAATCACCACCAAAATACTGGAAGAACCCATTGCAAAGCATTTTTGTTTTGATGGATATCACCTTAACACTATGACTATAATTTTAGTAGAGAAAGCCCATAATCCAATTGTGTTTGGAGGAAGTGAGGAGAGAATTATAAAACATTATACAGACTGCATATCTTGACAATTAGTCTTGATGTAGAGGACAATGCTACTCTTTTCTCCAGCATTGTCCTTTAAATGCAATTTTAACTGACACTGGATGCTGTCCATTCACTTCTATTCCAACTGAATCACTGAGAGAGAATGAAGTTGAAACATCTAATGCTTTTATTTATACAAATACACTTTCGATAATTTTATTAAATCTCAAATGTTAAGGCATCGGTTCTAAATGAAAACACTATTGATCAGTTGCTTCATTCAGTCCCCTTCCTTCCTCTCTATAAAATCTGTTTTGATCCGTTCTGTGCAAGGTGATGTGATTACTTCATCACAGTGACTAATGGTTCTCTTTGTGGACTCACAGACTTTTAAAACTTCATGCTGTGTGATCAGTTATCTGATAAATATATTGTCAGTATTTTGTGTGCTGATGTTTTGTTTTGATTGAAAGTAGAATTAGCTGTAATCCTGTACTTTTGTATACCAGTGCAGAGTGGGAAGAGGGGAAGGAAGATTGATTTTTAATTTAATGAGAATATTTATACTACCTTGTATCGTGCTATAATATTGAATAAAGACAAGGAACAGGATCTGATATAAGATTCTTACCCCAACATGCATCCTGTGATGCCAGTCTTCAGTGGTTTTTACTTATGAAGTTGTACCTTGTAGGCTAACACTGGTATAATATTACACATCAATGGCTAATAAGTCATGCTGCTGCATACAACATCTGTGGTGTAAAACAGAATGCTCCTGCATGCCATTGGGGAACAAAAGCAGATGTTTTTGCCTTCATATCCTGCTTGTATGCTTTCCATATGAATCCATAAGAAATTAAATTCTGGAGCAGAAAGGTGGGTTTGTGCATGATTAGTAGATTTCCAATATCTGCCTGCCCAGTGGATTTTGAACAAACACTAATGAACTCAAGGTAGTACAAATGACACATATTATTCTGCTATATAGCTGTGTTTTATATAAAGCAAGTTATACATTCTTAGCAAATCATAAAATTAATATCTGTCATACTTATGTGTGTATAAAGAGCTGACATCTTTTCCACTCTTCCCTTCCTATATCACCCTGCAGAGTTAATATGTATGAAAATACATTTAACGGGGATCAACTGCAATAAATACAAATTTATTGTGACTGCTAACCTCACATTTAATCAGGAGTCTTTCACGTGCTTTCATTAAAAAAAAGAGAAACAGTTTTAGTTTAGCTATTTGCTATTCTTATCTCGCTTTCATGTCTATTCTTATCTGCAATTGGCTTGTTTTACCAGCTTCTCTGTAACAAGGACTGTTCCCTGTAGAGCTAACTGTTGTGTTGTGTTGGGAAACAGCTGTCATAAACTACCTCTATTCATCTTCCTCCTTTATCTCTGTGGTAAGAGATATCATGGCTGCATCTCAGTCAGTGTTCATTGACCCAGAAAGATGAGTGTAAACTAAATCCTTGACTTACTGGCAAAACACACTATAGAGATTTTCCACACTCATGTTTTATTGCACCCTAACTATTCCAGGTTGAATGCCGAAGTCCTCCTTTGGTATTTTGTCAAAATACAGGTATTTTGACTTAGATTTTTCAACTATGAAATTATTTTGCACAAATCAGTAGATTTAAATATCATGAGCAACAAATTATCAGGCTCCCCATTTACTTCACACTGAAATGGCACAGAAAGGTCTAAATTACCTAGATCATAAAAAGGAACAGCCCAGACAGTTCTTAGTGAATTCTTTTAAGGCTGTATTCTTATCACCTATAATTTGAAATGAGATATATTTTGAATGCTTCTTTTTGGAATGGAGAAGATTCATGGGATTATAGGGCATATAAAGAGATGTAGCAGTCTTGCAAATCTATATATATAAATGCTCATGTCATAATGAGTGGCTTAAAAACAAAAGAGCCGCTGGGCCAATACCCACCAAATTTGGGAACAAAACTCCTCACCATACAAGGTGTGACCATCAATAATAAAAATAAAATAAAACTGAAAACAACTTACAAATCCTTAATAAAAGGAGAAGCCACCAGAGCGCATGCATGCAGCTGTGGGGGGAGTGCACGTGCATGTAAGAGAGCTCCTCCATCATCTCGCGGCAGAACTTGTGGCGGCAACAGCTGCTAGGCCTCCCAGAGCCAGCCACAGCTTCTCATCGTCCTTTACAATTCAAATGCCAGCCTGACCAACGGCGACAGAGGCAGAGGGGCCTCTTCCTACTCACTTGCTCAAAGCCTCTTCGAGCCTCAAGCCAGGGAGCAGAAGCAGGAGCGGGCTTCTCCACTCTGTCGCCATGTTGCTGGTGCTGAGGCTTCCATAGCAACTGTGCCTGGGAGAGGTCTGGCCCGCCTTTCCCTGGAGCAGTTGCAGGCAGAGAGGACTCCTCTTCCCTGGCTGAAAGCCCGTCAGTGTGAGGACCATGGGACTGTTCCACAGTGGCTTGACCCAGGGCCATCCATCACCCTGCCCCCGCCCCCCGCCTTCCCTGTAGCCCATGGGCCACCCAGAGTGCCGAAAACGGCACAAAAAGGCACCAAAACGGCAGCACGTGGCATGAAAGAGCGACGGGCCCTTCGCCCCCCCTTCTGAGATTGATTACAGATGAACTATAAATGCCAGCAACTCCCAAACGTCAAGGTCTTCCCCAAACTCCACCATGTTCAAATTTGACCATATTGAGTTTTCTTTCCAAGTTTGGTCCACATTCATCTTTGTTTTGGTTCACAGTGCTCTCCAGATGTAAGTGCACTTCTATTATTATTATTATTATTATTATTATTATTATTATTATTATTATTATTAAACTGAGGCTGGCTATCTGTCAGGAGTGGTTACATTGTGCTTCTCCCATTTCCCAAAAGGGGCTGGACTAGATGACTCTTGGGGGCACTGTTCCTTTTTCTCCCTCCCCCTCCCATCCTTCCCCCCCCCTCCCTTTGCTTCCCATTTCCCTCTCATTCTGTATCTCTTTTGGAAGCTGCAGCCATGATGGTTGGTTGGCCCCGAGGCTACAAGTGAGGCTTGAAGGAGAAGAAGAAAGTCAGGAAAACAAAGAAAGGAAAAGAAGAAGAAAAAAAGGGGGGGGTCAGAGATTGAAGGAACAGCCGCTCTCTTGGACACAGAGAGGAAGAAAGGAAGGAGGCAGGGAGGGGAAAGAGAGCCGCAGGAGAGAGGAGGAGAAAAAAAACGCTTCGACTGCAATTGCGCGGCAGAAGGCAAGGAAGGAAGGGAGGGAAGGAAGGAAGGCAACCCAACCGCTGCGCAGAGGATGATCCTTGGAGGTCTCTCCCTATCCTACGATACTATTATCATTATTAATATTATTATTATTATACAGAGGCTGAATGGCCATCTCTCTGGAGTGGTTTGATTATGCTTTTCCCTTATGCCAGAAGGGGTTGGACTACATGGCCCTTGGAAGTCTCTTCCTACCCTAAGATTCCATCATCATCCTCACGTTGAGGCTGCCCATCTGTTAAGAGTAGTTAGATTGTCCTTTTCCCATTTTCCAGAAGGGGCGGGACTGGATGCCCCTTGGAGATCTCTTCCTACCCTACCATTCTATTGTTATCAAGCAGACGTTTCATGGCTATCTGTCAGGACTGCTTTGTGAATTTCCAGCATGACGGTAGAAGGGGGTTGACACAGACTATGCCACAGCAACGCGTGGCCGGGTAAAGCTAGTGTTTTATATTTGTGTAAAAATGAGAAGTGATTTATACAAAAGTATGTATTGCAGATAGAAAATAAGGAATTTGTTGTAGCAAAATGGATTAGGAAAGGTCTTTTTAACCCACTTCTCACATCCAAGTGTTTTTCACCCAAAAAAAATGTTGCCAAATACAAAAATGTGTCTGTTTACATCAAAACAAAAGTATTAACTCCAAAACCAACTATATTAGACACCAAAGCATTTAAACATTACATCTATGCATCTCATATCTGAATGTTGGAATGTTTCAGAGTTCTGATATATCCTGGATAATCAGGTTATTTGGTATGATTTCACTGTTTAGGCAGTCCTCAAGTAACAAACAAGATAGGTTCTGTGGGTTTGTTCTTAAATTGAATTTGTAAGTAAAAAAAAAGGTATATTTTAAGTGTAACTCCAGCCTGTGTGTGTGTGTGTGTGTGTGTGTATGTGTGTATACGCCTTGGATATAATAGGGAAGGGTTAACACCCCTGTGGGTTTTTTGTTTCTTTTTTTTGTTGTTTATTTGTTTTTTTTGCTGTCTGTGCCCTTTTTCAGAAGAATTCAATTAAATTATCTCCCTATGATAACTGTGTTTTGAAAAATGTGGCTTGTTGTGGAAACAAGGATTGGCAATAATAAAGCTTCAGCTGAGTCACCTTTTCCCCATGATAAACTTTCAGGAGTGAATTTCCCTTCCAAAGGATAAATTTCTCTCACTTCCTGTTGTCTCTCCCCTGTTCTTAACTATTAGTCGTTTGCAAGTCAGATGTAGATGTAACTCAGGGACTGCCTGTAATCTTAACCTATTTCTGTGATAAAATATTTGAAGACTGAGCTTCAAAGAGCCTTAGTGGTGTAGTATTTTAAGTTTTGGCTAAGACCCTTGAACCAGGGTTTGAATCCCCAATTAATTAACTTGCAGTAAGTCTTTGAGGCCAAGAATTAGAATTACCTTAAGCTAAAATCAGCTCAAAGGTATACAACAGCAAGACTGTGTTTCACAGTAACACTCAAATAGATCCATGCTCCCTATTAGATGTTTAAAGGAATCCATAGTGCCTCTCAAACTTTCTTCAGAAAGCAAAAAAAGCTGACTGCTTCCTTTTCAGATCTATTTCACTTTGCAGATTCATCTTGATTGCAGTATATTCTTCTTATCTGAAACATAATTAGCACAATCAATGGATGATGGAGGAAAGGGAGATAAGCCCTTTCAAAATGATTTCTATTAAACAAAGTTGGTCCATTGGTCACATCTGTCAGAATGGAGTATGCAGCTTGTAGATAATATGCAGCCTTACCTCTCTTCCCTTCCGTAGAACATCATAGAATCATCTTTTCTTAACCTTAGAGCCAAAGACCTCCCATTAAAATTGTTTTTAAAAACTGACAGTTATTCACTGAAAAATGTAACTAGGGTTCACAGTTTGACCTTGTTTGTGAAAGCAAAACAAAAAAGTCCCATAAAAATACATAGTAACTAGTAATTTGCACTTCTGGACAAAAGTGATAGACAACATGGACCACAAAATGCCCCTCAGACCCTCTGCATGCACCACTCTTATGAATACATAAGAGTAAGGAATCTTCCTGCCTGAACTGACTACATTTGTTCTACAATCTCTTTTAACAACCACAGTCACAAAGGCCCTTTCTGCACAGCTGTACTGTACACAAAGATGATCCAGTTCAAATCAAATAATGTGGATTTTCTGGTTTGATAACCTGGAATATCTGGCAGTGTAGGAGGGGCCAAAGTCTACAGACAAACAACTTGTGTGCAGACCTTTTGGCTGTGGTTATTAGAAGAAGTGACTAAGACAGATCTAGTCAGTTATTTCAGTCATTAATATTAACTTGTTCATATATATATATATATATATATATATATATATATATATATATATTCATTTTATCAAAGCCTCCATAATTTGGTTCAGACAATCTAAGGCAGGGTTGGGTAAAGAGCATCTCCCATATTTTGCTTCTGTCACAGTCCTCTGCAATATGCCTTCAGAACTTCGACCAACCACACATACATTGTCACTCATTTTTTATAGGCTGAAATTTTTGAATGTCTATAAATAAGATCTTTAAATAAATTATGTAACACTTTGGGTGAGATCTAATAGGACTCTTGGCAGAATATAAATCTTTGCCTGTGACTTTGTGTTCACCAGGTTTTTTCCTTTAATATCTGAATTTCCCCTTCAGATCTAGAAATCAGAAACAGTGTGTATTTTTTGAAATTACATTGTTATATATTTTCGATATGTCCTTAAATCTTCCTAACCCTCTCATTACCCTGCTATTTGATATATTGGTATAAGACATTTCCTTTTTACTCATAAGACTTTGCTTTGTATTTTGTTTTTATAAAGAAAGCTGATATGTGTCTTTAAGAGTGTCACTATGATGGTAAATTGAAATTAGGTGACCTCTTGGAATCACTACCAGAAATTGTGATGGATGTGTGTAATACAGGAAAACATCTATGTAATGGAAAGGGAATGTCTTCCAATTTAGAAATATTGATATCTGTTTTCTTCCTATGGCAGCAAAAACACAAACATAATTCAGGTTGCATATTTATTCAAAAGATAACTTAATTCTAATGTGCAGTTTGCATTTTTAACAATAAATGAAAACTATAGAAAATAGAAAAATTAAGGAGGAGAGTTTGAGACCCATCATTTTAGTTTGTTGAGGAAAATGTAAGTAATTGTTTCAATTATAACATGTTTCAATTATTACTGCTATAAATAGTCCTCAAAGGACATCTCTGCTGCAGAGTGTACTATAATAAAGTAGGTAAGGATTGTTTTCTTATAGTGCTTTGAAGACTGATCTTCATGGATTTCAAAACTGGCTTAGGTAATGCACAGTTTAACATTATTAAATTTAAGCCAATGAGCACAGGGATGTATAAAGAATTGCAGCATAATCTGTTGTTATTTGCTTCCTCTTATTGCTCCTATCATTTGCTTCCTGATGTGCTTCTAGAGTCACTACTGAGCACCACAGAGTGCAAAACTCTAGCAAAATTGCCAGGGATGGTTTTTGGGGGTTTTTTGTCATGTCAAGAGTGACCTGAGAAACTGCAAGTCGCTTCTGGTGTGAGATAATTGGCTGTCTGCAAGGATGTTGCCCAGGGGATGCCCAGATGATTTGATGTTTTATCATCCTTGTGGGAGGCTTCTCTCATGTCCCCGCATGAGGAACTGGAGCTGATAGAGGGAGCTCATCCGCCTCTCCCCAGATTTGAACCTGCAACCTGTCGGTTTTCAGTCCTGCCGGCACAGGGGTTTAACCCACTGTGCCACTGGGGGTTCCAGGGACGGTGACAAAGAGGAAATGACATTAGTAAATTAAAATGTTACATGGTATATCATTCCTTTAGAAATGCCTTTAAAATTACAAAATTTTATTTGGAGAAAGGGGTTTTTTACCCTCTAGTTGAAACTTTTGTACTATCAAAACATAATAGATGTAATTAATATTAACATGTCCATTCTATGCTCTGCTGGGAGCACACCAGAGAAGTGGCATATTATTCCTGCTGTGTAACAATCACAAGAAAGGATGTAAATAATTTGCCTAGAGTTGCTATATTACATTGCCTTCAATCAAGACTATTGATTTTGCAAATTATGCAAAGTGTTTGCTAATTATGCAAATATAGCATATTCATTGTTGCTCTTTCAGTACTTGAAACTTCCTCAAAAACTTTCAACTAAACTATGTGTTGATCTTTTTCTTCTCAGGTGAACATGAGCCATATTTCAAGCTTTTTTGTCCTGTTCTTTTTGTAAATGACTCTGCACTTATTAATGCAATTGCACCTTCAAGTGGAAAACGGGATTCCTTTACTCTTAAGTCCTGAACTTAACAGCAAAAGAAATCAAAGCATGTTGAACAGCTTGAACTTAAATAGATGAAAATTGCAATTTTCTGTCATTTCCCCTTACACACCTAATTGAGAGTATGTCTCATTGATTTCAGTGTGTTACATTTGTTTGGTGAGATACACTCTAAGCAAAATGTGGATGCACTCAAATCTCTTTCATCATGACATTACGCAGACTACTTGTTTTACAGATTAGTACTGACTAATCTTCCAGGACTGTTATGAAGTCAATATAGATATTTAGTTATTATAGGAACAATTTTAAGAAGGTATATACAAATAGTCTCAATCTAAGACCTGAACAACTTTCAAATATCAAAATCTATTGTAGTAAAATTGTATTTTAGCCAGTGTTTTCCAGTGCTTCGAAGGGAATGTCACATAAATGTGTTTTTCCATGGAAGGACTCATTCTGTTTCAATTTGATTTTTTTCCCTAATGTTTAACAGGATATCAAACTCTTACTTCTTTTCTCTACGAACATTTTTTGATCTTTCACATAAATTGTACTACTGCATTGAAGAATAAGGGTTTGTTTTCAGCGGAATACATTTTTTTTAAATATTTCAAGCCTGAACATATTTTAGTTCTAAGTTAGTTCATTTTCAGTGACCCATTGAAGAAATTAACTCAGTAATGGTGTAATGAGTCTAGTGGCATTCTCTTATGCCCAATCTTATGATCCTAAAAGGATAGCTGTATTCTAGACTTTTGATGTAAGTTCATGGGTAAAATAAAATAACTTCAGGTCTTCAGTAATGTGTCTTCATTTGCAATACTGATAGTTTAAAGCATAAAACTGCTGGGAGAGGTCATCCGGAGTTTTGGAGTACAATGCCACCTATATGCAGATGACACCCAGCTCTACTACTACCTTCCATCTAATGCCAAGGAAGCTGTCTTGTTTCTAACCCAGTGCCTGTCATCAATAATTGACTTGATGAGGGCAAATAAATTGAAACTTAATCCAGACAAGACAGAAGTCCTCCTGGTTAGTTTTAAGGCAGACCAGGGAATAGGGCTTCAAGCTATTCTGGATGGGGTTACACTCCCCCTGAAGACATAGGTCTGCAGTTTGGGGTTCCTCCTGGACTCGACATTGAACCCAGAGACCCAGGAATCAGCGGTGGCTGAGAGGGCCTTTGCACAATTAAAACTTGTGCACCAACTGCACCAGTTCCTTATGAAACCAGATCTCACCATGCTGGTACATGCCTTAGTTATATCCCATCAGGATTACTGTAACACACTCTCCATGGGGCTGCCTCTGAAGAGTGCTCAGAAACTTGGTCCAAAGAGCTGCAGTCAGATTGCTAACTGGGGCTGGCTAAAGGGAGTGGACAACCCCCCTGTTGTAGCAACTCCACTGGCTGCCAGACTGTTACTGGGCACAATTCATAGTGCTGGTTATGACATTTAATGCCCTAGATGGTTCCAGTCCAGGCTATTCGGTGGAACGTATCCCCTCGTACGAGCCTGCCAGGACCCTGAGATCTTCAGGAGAGGCCCTTCTCTCAGTTCCACCTCCATCGCAAGCTGTGTTGGAGAGCGGGCCTTCTCAGTGGCTGCCCCTCGGCTCTGGAACTCCCTGCTCAAGGAAACCAGAATTGCCCCTTCCTTGTTGTCCTTCCAGCAGCAGACTAAAACCTTTTTATTCAGGCAGGCTTTTAAAGATGTTCAAGATCAAGTCAGGGTGTGCTGTGGTTTTTATCTTTGAATTTGTTTTGATAGTTTATATTTAATCCTGTTTTAATGTTTGCATATTTGTGTATTTTAAATGGTTATGTTAGTGCTTTTATGTTGGTAATGCTTCAGGGGAGATAAAGAGGAGTATAAATAAATATAACAACAACAACAATAATAATGCAGTCCCATATCATTAGATCTGGTACAATGGGATGGCAAATTTTGATGATTGCAGAGGGTTGTCTCATGAAAGAGTCCTAATTCCTTTAGAATGTACCCTGTCTTTTCCAGGTAATGGCATTTACTGATTGGGAAAAATATGTGTAGGAATAGTGATTTATTAATATCTTTATAAATGTATCAATAATTTATAATAGCAAAACAACTGAAAATCTTTGGTTTATTTGGGTAATACGGCAATTGCAAATTAATTCTATGAAATGATTATCATTTTAATAGAAAATTGTTCTATTTATTCACTTAGTCTTTTTACACAATAATTCCATATGATTTTTTCCCCTTTCAGTAACTTCTCCTGACCAAACTGTTACTGTGGTTACGCAAACTCTGGTAACCAAGGAAACTACCATCTCCAAACAAGAAATGCCATCATCTTTGCTTTTGGAAGTGCCAGCCCTGGCTGAATTCAATAAAGCATGGGCAGACCTCACCGACTGGCTTTCTCTATTAGATCGAGTTATAAAATCCCAAATAGTCACTGTTGGTGACCTTGATGAAATCAATGATATGATCATCAAACAAAAGGTAGGTGAATTATGTAGATATCTGTTGATTTATACATTCTAATAAAAGTGGTTGCTAGAAATACAATATCAGTACGAAGCCTACAAAACGTTTTATAAAATCTTTTGCACATATGTTCTTTGAGAAATTGCTTTCATATTATACAGTTGAAAATAATTGCTTACTACTACACCACTTTAAAGTTTCTATAATTATTTTTACTCATTTTTGAGTGAAAAGAAAGGGAAAGAAGGAAAGAAAAATATGGTTAGCCTACATATTGTTTTTACAATGAGCCAATTACTGTGGAATTTACATGCCAAGCTGTGGCATTTTCAAAAGGCAGTAAATAGGTTAAATAGTACATGATGCAAGCAGAATAAGCAAGCATCTTACCTTTTTATGTTGGAATATTTCTCTAAGAACTTTCTGAGAGGCTTGTATCCTGCTGTCATCCTATTATGAAACGCTTCTCAATCTCCTTAAAGAAAAGAGCATCTCATTAATGCAAGTGTTTTGTCAGCAAACTGTTTAAGTACTACTTATCTTTGAAAACACACAAAAATATAGAAATCTATATGCATGGACAAAAACAAACTTTAACTTCAGCAACTCTGGTGCAATAAAAGTAATTTGCTTATTATATAGCCTGAAAGTAATTACCTGCCTCCAAGATTTAACAGTGTTCACTATAAAAGATCCAGCTTGCCTGAGCAAAACTTTAGTGCTATGCATTCATTCTAATGATCCTTTGTGGACTGAATTGAGCTTTTGTTTATATAAACAACATTGTTGTACTTTTCTTTTTTTGTACAAAGTCTAATTAATACAATATAAAACATGTTAAACTATAATTGTATGTGTATCAACCATACTGACTTTGCATAAATACCATTAAATATTTTCTGTTAATTATTATTATTATTATAACTTTATTTGTACCCCGCTAGCATCTCCTGCAGGATTCGATGCGGCTTACAATAGGCCGAAGCCCAACACAAAACAACAATACAATATCTAGCAAGTAAAACAGTTAAGCAGAAAAAACAATAACAATAGCAATACGATAAGACAATATTAAAAACTGGGTCGGCCAGAGTGGGGTACAAGGTTAAAAAGTGCTGATGTGTCGGAGGAGTATGGGATTATGATATAAGTGCAGTGTGCAGTGTGCGGTGATTTTGGTACTAAAGTGCTTCTAGGATTTGGTACTGGGAGATTCCTAATCTGAAAAGGCACGTTGGAACAGCCAGGTTTTCAAATTCTTCCTGAAGACTGCCAGTGTAGGGGCTTGTCTGAGATCTTTCGGGAGGGTGTTCCAGAGGCGGGGGGCCACCACGGAGAAGGCCCTGTCTCGCGTCCCCACCAAGCACGCTTGTGACGCGGGCGGGATCACAAGCAGGGCCTCCCCAGATGACCGGAGTGAGCGTGTGGGTTCATAGACAGTGATGCGGTCACGCAGGTTGGGTGGTCTCAAACCGTTCAGGGCTTTGTAGGTAAGCACCTGCACCTTAAATTGGGCTCGGAAAATAAACGGCAGCCAGTGGAGCTCCTTAAACAGGAGGGTTGACCTCTCTCTGTAATGGGCCCCAGTTAACATCCTGGCTGCTGCCCGTTGGACCAGTTGGAATTTCCGAGCCGTTTTCAAGGGCAGCCCCACGTAGAGCGCATTGCAGTAATCCAGTCTAGAGGTGACTAAGGCATGGACCACCCCGGCCAGATCAGCCTTAGCGAGGTACGGACGTAGCTGGCGCACAAGTCTCAGTTGTGCAAAAGCCCTCCCGGTCACCGCCGAAGCCTGAGCCTCAAGCGTGAGCGATGAATCCAGGAGGACTCCCAAGCTACGGACCTGTGGCTTCAGGGGGAGTGTAACCCCGTCCAACACAGGTTGCCACCCTATACCCCGATCTGGTTTACGATCGACCAGGAGGACCTCTGTCTTGTCGGGATTGATCTTCAGCTTGTTTGTCCTCATCCAGATAGACACAGCGGCCAGGCACTCGTCTAGCACCCGAGAGGCCTCCTTGGAATTAGGTGGAAAAGAGTAGTAGAGTTGTGTGTCATCTGCATAGAGATGGCACCCAACTCCAAAACTCCGGATGACCTCTCCCAGCGGTTTCATGTAGATGTTAAAAAGCATTGGAGAAAGAATAGAGACTTGCTGCACCCGACAGGTCAAAGGCCAGGGATCTGAGCAGGCATCTCCCAGCTTCACCATCTGGGTTCGTCCCTCCAGGAAGGACAGGAGCCACGACAGAACCGTGCCCCCGAGACCCATCCCAGAGAGGCGACCCAGAAGGATACCATGATCAATGGTATCGAAAGCCGCTGAGATGTCCAAGAGAACCAGCAGGGTCACACTCCCCCTGTCCAGTCCTCTACGGAACCAGACTTTACTTAAATGAAAGTGATATATATTTAAAATGTCTCCATGGATAAACATCTCAATTTAAGTCTAGGAGGATAAAAGGTTGTTACTGCTATTGTGTGACTTCAAGTCATTTCTGACTTATTTCAGCTCTTCTGCGAACTTATACAGTGATTTATTTAATCTCCACAGGGTTTTCTTGACAATATTTGTTTAGATAGAGTTGTCTTTGTTTTCCACTGAGGCTGAAAGACTGTGACTTGTCCTGGGTCACCAAGTGGCTTTTACGGTTGAGCAGAGATTCAAACCCTGATCTCCAGAGTCATAGTCCAATGGTCACACCCCTACACTATTTTACATTTAAATCTATAACCCTAACTAAAACTAGCAATATTATTAGTTACACTTTTTGCAAAGATAATGAACCACTACTTAAAACAAATGTTCCACTTTTTGTGGGTGTGAGTTTACTGGCCATCCATATTTCATTATTTTATGATATGTTCAATTATTTACCCACAAATATGCCTGTGGAAATGGAGAATATTACAACCCACAAAAGAATAAAATTCTGGAGTAAAAAATACTCCATATTAAAATATTCAAATTTTAAAAATCAGCCAATATCTTTTAAATGTGCAAACACTTTCTAAAATTCACCCAGTGATACGCAAGTAAACTTGTCTTCCAAGATGTGACATTATAGATGTAAAAAGAAAAAAGAAAATGAGTCATGTGGTTACTGGATTTCTTTTTTAAAAATAGCATAAAAGGGAAACTTTTAAGTTCTTCAGGAAATCAAAGCATTTAATATTTTGATTTCTCTACCAATGTTTGTACTGACCAACCTGATGAAGTGTTGTGAAAGCTTGAAAAGTTCAAATCTTATAATTTTGTTAATGGTCTAATAAAAATGCTACCTTACTCTATTTTAAAAAATTACTAGTTTTTTAAGCAATAAGTATTCATACATAAGATTTTTTTTTAAAAAAATCTCTGTGATACTTATATACTTGGCAAAAGAACTGAATGTTTTAGCGAAGTCTCTTAGTAGACACAAAGTGCATATTCATGATAGTCTCTTTCCATTTCTGACTTCCTTTATTTGGCATACCCATAGGTTGTTGGGAAAGACCACAGTTAGACATAATCTAGAACAGTGGCTCTCAGCCTTTTTTTGATCTCCAACATTAGTAACAAAAGGGTTACGAATCAATTTTTGATCAACTTTAGATTCGGTTTTGTTATTTGGGGTGCTGATTTTTTTTTTAAAAAAATGCATTGGATAGACCATATCAGCTCTAGTTTCTGATACAGAACATATGCCATCCAGTAGTTGTCATCTGCTTGTGCACAAAAAACATATTTAAAAATTTAGAGCTGATGTGGTCTATCCAATGCAATTTTCTGAATCAGCACTCCAAATAACCCCAGGAACAGGCCTGAAAATGAAGACACCAAGGCACTCCCGCTTCCAGGTGCCTCATGTAACGGCTCTGCTCAGGGGAGAGAGGAGGAGGAGAAGCAGTAGGAGGCTTGTTGTCATGCTTTTCATGGGTAGTCAGCTTTTCCCCTCCCAACACCCCCATTGCCTTGGCACTATGAGGATTTCATGAGATTAGTCACTCTCGTTGCAACAGTGTAGTAACAGTGAGGCCGCCTGTCATATTTTAGTTCTTAGGGGCCACTAGTGGTCCACAGACCACAGGTTGGGAGCCACTGATCTAGAAGCTCAACAAGCATTGCTACAGGTAACAAATTACAGAGTGATGTATTTCTCCATTTCTTGTCCACCCTTTCCTCTGGTTCTGAAAATAATAGCCAAAGTTTTGAGAAAATATAGTAAAGTGCACTTTCATTTCATAATTGGAATTTTGTCAGCCCCTTTTCTTTACCATCCTTCTCCTCTCTCTCATTAACAGAAAATACGCCCCAAAGGTTAGGTACATCACTTTGACTTGGAAAGTCTAGAAGATAGCATGATTAATCATTGTTAGTGTTTTCACAGGATGTCTTCCCTTATTATGCAGAAAATGCAAACCTTTCCCAATATTTGCATTCTCCTGAAAATCCCTCTAATCCTATTCTTATCCTTCATTTCCTCCAGTACTTGAAGGACAAGCACCTTTTGTTGGCTTTGCTACATCTCTGTTTGGCTTATAAAGTCTCTGGAAACCTCTTCTATTTTAATTCCTTTGCCAGCGAAACAGTGAAGAAGTTCTTTCAAGGTCTTAGGAATTCCCTCTACTAAGAGTACAGTTTTCTCCACTTTGATCATTGTCTTAACTTCTTTTGCAGTTAATAAAATCTTTTTTTTATTTGTCTATTACAACTTCACATGCTTACAGATGGCTTCTCCAGTGATTGACAGTTGGTTGGGCATTCAAGAAAGGGCCAAGGTGCACTACAATGTGCTTCCTCTATAGAAAGTCTCAGGTTCACTCAGTAACACGTGTAGTTTTTCCTGGCCCTGGTGGTCTAGTAGTACTGTTGTAGATGGATCAAGGGTTTAACTCAATATAAAACAGTTTTTGATATATGATTTTACTCTTGTCTATTGCTCCAATTGAAAAAGATGAGAAACAGGAAAGGATATGGAATATACTATCAGTTTATCTTACTTTTTCTCAAACTCATTGACCTACATCTAAATGTTGGGCCCAGCTAGAGTACTCCAATTAAATTAATGTAAACTTGTTAGTTAACATTTATAGGTTCCATTGCCTCAAAGTATATACTGGGAATATCAACTCCATTTAAGCCATTATACAATATTTATCTCCACATCGGTTCAAGGGACAGTTTTCTTCCATGGTTCTCATAATGCAAGTATAAATTCTAACAAAAAGTTTTATGTTTCTGTTGATTCCAAAAAGGACAGAAACATCAAGCATAGAAGAAAGAATTTGATGCATTACCATCTCTAACAATACAAACAAACCCTAAAATCTATTTTGCTACTGATATTTATATTTTATTTTTTATTTATTTGCTTCACTTGTATACCGCTCTTCTCAGCCATCAGGCGACTCAGAGCGGTTAACAACCAGTATCAACAATGCAATACAAAATCATTAATCATTTAAAAACAGTAATATCCATTAATTAACATC